TGCTTCTTGTTTGTTGTGTGGGTGTTTATTTTTTGTCAAAGTTAGGTTGACGGTTGGACAAGATGATCTTTAAGGTCCCTTCCAACCTAGAAGATTCTGTGATTCTGTGATTCTTCTGAATTTTCTTTTTCCTTAGCTGCTGCCTTTAAGTAGAAAGAGAGGTTTCTGCACTTTAATAGTTGTTGGGCTGTGTGTGCGTGAGCCCACGTGTGCGTGTTTGCACATGTACGGTGGAATGAGCCCCCTCCCTCCCTCCCCTTCTGCAAAGTAATGATTTTGCAGGCAATTAGGCCAGCAATAGCTGTTAAATCGCTTCCCAGTGTCTCCGTTTGCCTGGTGTGAAACCTCTGCAATCTTTTACCTGCGCCAAATGCGGAGGGGAGACCCCTGGGAGCCGTGGCTCCTCTCTGCGCCGTTTGTTAACTCCAGCCGACCGTTTCTCCAGCCATCCCTCAGCTCCCCCTCCTCAAATGGGGGCTGGCAAAGGCTGAGGACAGTGACTGAGCACTGGGGTGATAATTGGCTGCTTACATATCTTGTGGCCTCCAGATCTGCCCCTGGACAATGCTGAAAAATCAAGGTCAAAGCAGCAAAGGCGTAAGGTTTGTTTGGGAGAGTGATCTTCTAGCCCTCTGATGAGGACAAGCAGCCACAAGGGATTGAGGGGGGAGAGACAGAGCTGAAACGATGGCAAAGCTCATCAACAGCTCCCTGAGAAAGGTGCAGGAAAGTCTCGGTGGGAAATAGGAAAAGCTTCTGCCATGGGACCATACGAGCTGCCCTGGGCAGAGCCCCAACAGGGAGACTCTTGTTTCTCAACCTGCAGCCCTTTCTGGCCCCTTCCTTTCTCCTGACTGTCCTAAGGGGAATGACTCATCTAGAGCCCATTGTCCTTCTTTGCCCTTGACCTCGTGGGTGAATCATATCAGCATCCACTTTCAAGAAGAGAGGCACAGAAGAGCTGAATTCACCCCTTAGGGACTAAGGCCACCAGTGAGTCCTTCCCTCCCAGGCGGTGAGAGCCAGCAGGAGGCACGGATGCTCCCCGTTGGGCTTTGGGGCTTGACCTCTTTGTGTGCCGATGCTGCCGAGCATATCACTGTCATCACCAGATCCATCAAGATGACAAACCAACCGCGAATCCTCCAGTGTCAGTTGACCACCCCAAGAGTCAATGCCTTCACACGTGCCCACTTCTGCAGGGGTTGAGCATCCTGCTGGATTGCACACAGGATCTGAGCATCCCTGAGCACCCTCCCCACCCTTTCCCATCACAGAGATACCCTCTAGCTCTTGTCTTCCTCATTTCCCCTACTAGTTTTTGGGGAATGAGGTTTCTTTGTTGTCGTACAGCAGGTGGGGAGATCGAGGAAGAACAAAGAACCATATCTCATGTATCATCTATACGTATATACTCATATATCATCAAATATCATTGCTGCTCTTTGCTCATCCAGGCTTTCCAGACCCTTTGCCATTCTCTCTCTCCCTTTCTCTTTGCCTTTCTAATATAGAAGATGAGTCAGGCTCAGTTTCTTGGCTGAAAGGTTGATCCAGAAGGAACAAGCTCACGGACCGTGTGCCAGGGAACAGTGGGAATGGGTCTCCATACCCTAAGTTCTCCACAGCTTGGTTTTTCCTTGGAGTGGGAAGGGTGCTTTTTGCTCAGCTATCAAACTGTATCAGTGCAAACCAGGGACTGGGAGCTTTTTGGTCTGCCTTTGGTCAGGAAGGTATGGAGATTGTGATGTGGAGCCCGAAGCAGTTCTGCTACAATTTTGTTTCTTCTAGGGAAGGCTTCTGTAATGTTTGTGGTGCTGCAGGATGGGTGATTTTCAGAAAGGCTACTCAGTGAAAATAAAGCAAGGGAGACTGGCAATGTGGGTACATCCCTGAAATACGTGGCCATGGGGTTTGCTGAACCTCATGAGCCTCAAGAAGTCCAGAGGGGCCCAACACTCCTGTGGATAGCGAGATTATCCTGCATTTTTGATTATACTATTGAAAGGGATTAGAAAACTTCTCCAGCTGTTTTTCAGCCCAACCTCTAGAAATTGGTTTTAGACAAGTAAAGAAAATCCCTGTGTTTTGTACACTTTCTTCTGTTTTGCTGGGTCACTCTCAGGGATAGACTGGGACCGTGCGTTTGGTTCCTTCTCATCATTCCAGTTATTGATGTTCCGAAGTGACACCCTGTTATGAGATGTGGCTGGAATCATAAGGTGCCGTATTCGCGCAGGACTGATTTCAATATCTGATATATGTAATCAAATGAGAGAAATAGTCTGTGTTGTTTTGTACACTCTGCAATAATATATTGCCCTGTGGAATATTAGCAATAAGAACAAGAATACTGTCTGACTGGCATTTGAGTGAGTCAATCCTGCAGGGTCTTGAGTGTGGTTTTTTTTAATCTTTTGCTCATCATCACCACAAATTTTGCCCTTTGTGCCATCAGTTTCAGCCGGGAGATTTGTTCACTGGTCACCATGGGTCTGTTCCTGGAGGAGGGGGCAGCGAGGTGATCCCTTGCCTAAAGGAGGAATGGGAGGCTGCTGCTGCTGCAGCTTCCCTGAGGTCTTCCCTCTCAGGAGACATGCTGCCAGGTGGGAGCACAAGTCTTACGAGGAGAGGCTGAGGGAACTGGGGTTGTTCAGTCTGGGGAAGAGGAGACTGAGGGGAGACCTTATTGCTCTCTACAACTACCTGAAAGGAGGGTGTAGAGAGGTGGGGGTCGGTCTCTTCTTCCATCATTAAAAGGAAGCTGTAGAGAGGCAGGGGTCGGTCCCTTCTTCCATCGTTACAGACAATAGGACAAGGGGTAATGGCTTCAAGTTGCGCCAGGGGAAGTTCAGGTTGGATATTAGGAAACATTTCTTTACTGAAAGGGTTGTCAGGCATTGGAATGGGCTGCCCAGGGAGGTGGTGGAGCATGCTCTGGTGCCCAAGATTATTGGTTTGTGGTGGGATGCTGTGTGGGTGGGTGATGGCTTTTGGTTTGGTTGTTGTTGTTGTGTGTTTAGGTGGGGGGTGGTTTTTTTTTGGTTTTTTTTTTTTTTTTTTTGTGGTTGGACTCGATGATCTCTGAGGTCCCTTCCAACCACTACGACTCTGTGATTCTGTGATTCTGTTGTCCAAAAGACCTGGACCACAATGCGTTTCTCCAATGATTATTCTACAGTTTCCATGGAAAGAAGAAAAATACTCATGGTTCTCTCCCTGCTTTTGTTTGCTGTTCTGCAGATCCGTGTGGACGGCACCACCAAGAACACGCTGGAGTATGAGATCGTGCAGGTGGTGGATACTGGCCCCATATTAAGGGATATGGCCTTCTCCATGGATCACGAACACCTCTACATCATGTCTGAGAAGCAGGTAAGAAACTCCGTCAGTCCATGGCACTTTGAAAACTTTCAGCTCGATCGTGTTGGGGACATCAGAATTGCACCTGAAGTTCTGGTAGTGAACACAGTTACTACAAAGATGTGCTCCACTGTTGATCTCATGACTTTTTGTGCTTGGAAACTATTGTATTTGTGCACTGATGAAATTTTTGAGGGGGCAGAGTGATAAGGGGGCAGAAACCACCCCCGGCGTTGCTTTATGCAGTACATGTCCTACTGGCTACATGACAAGGAGTTGCTACTGCATCTGCTGCGTACCGTTGCTCTCCACCCCCGTCCAAACTGTGGCTACATCTGCCACAGACAGGGAAAAGGGTAACGCTGAACCAATTGGCTCCAACTGGAGTATTTGGAGAAGCTGGAGCCTCTTTGAGACAGCCAGATTCCAAGGAAGGACCGATATGGGTGTTCACCATGGAAGTCTGGTTGATTTCAGCAGAATGCTTGGCCTTAGGAAGTTTGGCGCTTGGGGTAGGAGGAGGAAATTGTTTTGAATGAAGAAATTCATTGTAAAATTTAAATTAATCTTGTGAACATGCAGGGACTTGAGATATTATGAGTGGTCGATTCATGAGTGCTTGCGAGGAGCTTTAGATCCCCAAACTGAAGGGAGCAATGGGGGATTTTGGCAGGGTGATGGCAAGTGCCCTATGGTACAGCTTCAGTTCGACCAGAGGCCACCAGTCCAAGTGTGACACGTTCACCCGTGCAGTAGGGTTCAGTAATTCTTTAAGCAAGTATTAACCGCCTGACCTTGGGTCATGTAAGTGGCACCAAACATAAAACATCCACTTGATGCTTCATGAATCTCCTGGAGGATGTCTTGCTTGGGAGAACACATTCCCATAGCGCTTTCAGAGCAATGTGGTGTCCTCCCAGTATCACCCAGTTCCCAAAAACTGTGTCCCCTGTTGGTGTTGTGTGGTGTGCTCTGACAGCATTGCTCTACAGTGGTCAACAGTCAGCAGTCTCCAGGATGGAGATGGGCCACAATGTCCCCTCTCACCCATCCTCATGGCAATTTTCCCACCAAGAAATGCAACAGTGAAGAATAAAGAGCAAGTTTCCTCTTCACTTGCCGTGATTTTATAGACCTTCCTCACATCCTCTTCAGGTGGCTGCTTTCCAGGCTGTGGTTAATGCTGAAACTATTAGTCTTCACCTGAGCTAAGAGGACTTAGGCTCATCAGGCAGATTTTGGAGGGAGGTATTTAGCAGGGTTGCTGTGGTCCAGGAGCTCAGATATGGCAGGTTGGCTGTCTTCCTCCCCGTGCAAAGTCGGGGAGTTATTGTTTCCAATCTATGACTGTCATTTCTTCTGCTACAATAATTTTATTTTAAATATTTTGTGTCTCTGCAATGTCTCCAGCCCTCTCCCTATGGATATTTATACCTCAAAGTGAGTGGAGGGGGGGGGACATCTCTGTACTTTTGTCTTTATTAAAGAGGTTGTAAGAAGATGATAACTGAGGAGAAAGGATGTGATGACAGAGCTGGGATTGCTTTCTCATCTGCTCCGTGCTGGGCAAGGATGGGATGTCACCTCCAGTGCTGAAGTGAAAACAGTCCCAGGCACCTGCTGGGATGGGGTGGGAGGCTGGAGGCAGGTGCTCCTTGTGAGCTCCTGTGAGACTTTGCTCAAGACTTAGTTCCTCTTTCTTACCTTTTTATTCTGCAAGTCTTTTTTTTTTTCTTCTCGTTTGAGCAGAATGGGGTTCCCTGCATGGTCAAAGCCCTTAAACAACCCACTGATTTCAGATTTGCTCTGAGTTTCCTTTTTGTGTAGGCCCATTTGGCAACAGGTCACTTCAGATACCACCACTGGCTTTGCACAGCCCTTCAGATTTACAGAGACAATAAGCCCTTAAACAACCCACTGATTTCAGATTTGCTCTGAGTTTCCTTTTTGTGTAGGCCCATTTGGCAACAGGTCACCTCAGATACCACCACTGGCTTTGCACAGCCCTTCAGATTTACGGAGACACTACATTTGGCTCCTTTGGGCTAGTTGGTCTCTTAACACACCCAGTAGTTGACTTGACTCTCTCTAGGAGAGGACAACAGGACAACACTGTTCATTCTCTCACTTCCTAAAAGAGATGAGATCTGGAACAAGAGAAGCAACTTGATTTTCCTCCACAAATCTCCAAGAACATACTCTTGCTGGTGTGTTGACTCTAGAAGATTCTGTGATTCTGTGATTTGGCTCCTTTGGGCTAGCTGGTCTCTTAACACACCCAGTAGTTGACTTGACTCTCTCTAGGAGAGGACAACAGGACAACACTGTTCATTCTCTCACTTCCTAAAAGAGATGAGATCTGGAACAAGAGAAGCAACTTGATTTTCCTCCACAAATCTCCAAGAACATACTCTTGCTGGTGTGTTGACTACCTGTGCTGCCCTGACCTGTGGTTGGACTCGATGATCTCAAAGGTCCCTTCCAACCACGAATATTCTGTGATTCTGTCATTGCTGTGTGAGCAGACTCATTTCATAGTTGGATGTTCTGAAGCACAAGCTTAGGTGACCACAAGTTGTTGATGGAGCTCTATAGAGAATATTGGAGGCTTAGGCTCTTTCTTTTTATTCTTTTTTTTTGTTTGTTTCTGGTGCACATTCCTCTCTACGGAGAACTCAGGAGCCCTGAGTCCCTGTGATTTATTCAACCATCTCCTCCCACCCATCTTTGAAGCTGATGGGTCTCCGTATGAGAGATGTTGGTGAAAAGGGCACACAGGCTGTTATGATTTAAAATCTGATCTGATTTTGTGAAACACTCGACGCTACAGAAGCCTTTGCCCGTTTCTGATGTTATCTGCGGCGTAGCAAGCACCGCCACTGACAGCGCTGCCGTCGTGGCAACACGGTGGCTATCTGTGTGTTTCATGATACAACGGGCTTCAAGTGCTCGAATGAATTAACATTTGTAGGGCCCGGGTGGCTGAGAGTGGGCGCGGGGGGTTGTCCTTGCTGGAGACAGGGCTATGAGCAGCGTGGAGCAGCGCAGGCTGGCCTCGGGGAGGGTATATAATGACAATGAGCAAACAGTGTGATCTTGCGGCCAGGAGGGCCAACGGAATCCTGGCTTGCATAGGGAAGAGTGTGGCCAGTAGGTCAAGGGAGGTCATTCTGCCCCTCTGCTCTGCACTGGTGAGGCCACAACTGGAATCCTGCGTCCAGTTCTGGGCTCCCCAGTTCAAGAGGGACAGGGAACTACTGGAAAGAGTCCAGCGTAGGGCTACAAAGATGATTCAAGGATTGGAGCATCTCCCTGATGAGGAGAGGCTGAAAGAGCTGGGACTCTTTAGTCTGGAGAAGAGAAGGCTGAGGGGAGACCTTATTAATGCTGACAAGTATCTCAAGGGCGGGCTGAGGGAGGAGGGAACCAGACTCTTTTCAGTAGTTGCCAGTGAGAGGACAAGGGGCAATGGGCACAAGTTGGAACATCAAGGGTTCCACTTGAATATGAGGAAGAACTTTTTCACGGTGAGGGTGACAGAGCCCTGGAACAGGCTGCCCAGGGAGGGTGTGGAGTCCCCTTCTTTGGAGATTTTCAAGACCCACCTGGATGCAGTCTTGAGTAACATGCTCTGACAAGCTCTGGTTGGTCCCGCTTTAGCAGGGGAGTTGGACTAGATGATCTCTATGGTCCCTTCCAACTCTAAAATTCAGTGAAATTCAGTGAAATATCCATCCACAGCACAAGCCACGTCGTACGGTTCTTTTCATAAATAGATGGAGATCTAATTTATCAGAGGTTTTCACTGCCCACAGAAGTATCGTGAGGTCTGTGGAGATGAGGGACGGGAGGGTGATGGCTTGACCTGACCTGTTCAAAGGCAGGCAGGCACCAGGGCTGGTCCCATCTTTGGGGAAGGAGGTGGTTTCTCCTCACTCCATTTGCTGGGCTCAACCCTGGCTGTGCCCCAGAGATAAGAGTGGTTCTGTTGGCTGTGGGGTGCACCTTTCATAGCAGTTTTGCCCAGCTTGGCTCCATCACTCACCAGCCCTCAACAGCAATGAATGCCCTGATGAGAAAGCCAATTTCTCCAGTTTGACCCAATCCTATCACGGCTCTGGTAGTCCCAGCAAGTATCACTCTTGCTGTGCCCCAAACTATTCTGCAATGAGATGTTTGGACTCAGCTCAGCAAGGCACCCTTTAACTTGAAACACCTTCAAAGAGCTGTCACTATAAATCTGGCTACTAGAGGAGGCTTTCTCATGCCAAAAAAAATATATCCCCTGGCCTTTTTAAAGTCAACATCTGCGTGGGAGCAAGTTTCCACAGTTCACTGGGGGCTCCTTGGGTTGCACAAGGGGGTTTTCACCTGGAGCTGGACTCCCTGGGCTCCAAGAGAAACAGGGAACCCGGACCAGCCTGTGGTCTGAGGTTGAAAGAGGTTGTCCCTTGTGACTCCTCTGAACACCGAGAGGTGACAAGCAGCACTTGCTGGCACTATCAGATGTGCTGTGCTCTGAGGAGAGGGATGCAACAGCTTATCACCATCGGAGGGGTCTTTTTCCACCATCAGAGGGGTCTTTTTCCACCATCAGAGGTGGTCTGATTCTTCCTTGATTCTTAAGTGTTGACACACACACGCAGCCCAGCTCTACGTGCCAGGAGGTGCAGGATGCTCCTTTTACTGTTTGTGGCTTTGGACTAGTATTTGGAAGGTCACTTCCACCACCCCCACTAAATAACTTTGCTTCAGCACGTTGGGCTCCTGGGTCTCTAGGTGTGTTTTGCAAAGCTGACACAGCACCTGGAAGCAACTCCAAGCCAGGAGAATCTCAGCTCTTCCCTTTGATGGAGCGGGATCAAAGGAAAGAATAGAGAAAATGAACTTAAAGGCTCAAAAACCAGAAGGCAAACAGCAAGAGACCCCAGCTTCGTATTACTCAACTCCCAAGGCTTTGAGCTGCCTCCTATTTTTGGTTTACTAATGGCTCAGGATGACTCTGTTCTGTT